TGCCACTTTTGGAGCACTGCTCTGAGGAAGGCGTGGGCAGCTATACTCTTGGGTCCATTTCTCAAGTAGACAGATGTGCCACGGCTAATTTTAGGTCGTCCTGTCCTGTCAGTGGGACCTATCTAAAGGGCGGGGTTTGAAAGCTGGGGATGGGCTGCAGATCTGCTAACTGTATTCAAGTTGGCACAGATGGACAGCCCCAGTCACTTGGACTGGTTGGACTCAGATGGCATTGTGTCCCGCCACCTGGCTGGCCTGCTGTTATCTGGGTTCACTCAAAACATGTTCCCTTGGCAGAAATTCCACAGGGGCAATTTGGAAAAGGCTTTTGGCAGTGACGCTCCTCTGGTGTGGACAATACTTTCCCTGGGGGCAGTTTGGTGGAGGGTTGGTGGGAGGACTTGGCAGCCCCTCCCGAGGCCTCAGAGAAAGGACATCACTGTAACAGGCAGACAAGGCTGAGTGAGCTCAAGGCTGAGTGCAGAATAAAATGGGAGCCCAGGGGCCTCAGATTGCTAAGATTTAGTGTTGTCATGGACAGGGGTGGTCGGGGTGGGATATAAAGTGGTGTTTTAGATTCTGTATCTGTGTTTCGAGAATTTGCCATGAACAATGTCCAGCCTTCTCAAAGGTGGGCTCGCTTGGGGTAACAAAGGAAAGAAGGAAGGAAGGAAGGAAGGAAGAAAGGAAGGAAGGAAGGAAGGAAGGAAGGAAGGAAGGAAGGAAGGAAAGAAGGACCAAAGAACGGACTTTCATCATATATCATATTTGCGATATCATTTTTGCAGAGCTGACATATAAGGCGGTTTTTAACACTCTTCAGCAGTGGTCCTCAAAGTGGGCCCACACCAGCATCAGCATCACCTGGGGACTTGGTAGAAATGCAAACTCTCAGGCCCCACCCTGCACCTACTAGGAAAAGAACTCTGGGGTTGCAACCCAGATTTCTGGACTTTAGCAAGCCTTTCAGGTGATCCTTTTTTAAGAACCACAGTATCAGCCCAGTGAAGGCTCTGAGAAGTCCTGCCATCCTGAAACTCTTTGCGGGAGGGTCACAAAATGTAGCCCACAGTGTCCCACAAACAGAATTTATCCCGCCATGTACCTCTGATGTCTCCCAAACTCACATGGCCACATGAGCCTTTTATGGCATAACATCGGCCATCAGCTAGCTCTCCCAGAAGTAAGCTTTGGGAAACAGGAAAGAACATGGACTCAGAGTCTGGAAGACATTGTTCGAATCCCAGTTCTGAGACTCTGGGGTGGCACAACCTCTTTACATCGTTGAGTGGTTGTCAGTTTCAAATAAGATACGATCGCGCATAACATGATCCTTGGATCAAAGCAATGCCCACTGAGTTGTGGCACTAACAACAATTGTAATTATCACTATTATGATAAGCAGCCAAACTTTCAATAAGTTTCACATGTCTCTCTGTTAGTCCCCACTTTTTTTTTCATAAATCTCTGTGCAGTTTTGGGGTGTCAGGCTGAGTCCTACAATTTCCTCCCTACACCTGCGTTCTCAAGTCAAACGCCCTGGCCACTTCTTGCAAGGTTCATCTCCCTGCACCAGGGGAGCAGAAATCAGGCTTCTGCCTGACGCCTGGCTCTGGTAACGGTTCTATGCTGCCCTTTTATGGGAAACAAGAGGAGCCTGGACACAGAGGATGGCTGGCACACACGTCCACTTAATGTGGCCACTCGTGGGGTAGAGCAGAGCAGTCCAGGGAGTGCAGCCCATGGCTGCACCTAAAGGTGGGGGTGCTGGGGACACACAGTCTATGGCCGGTCAGCTATCTAGCTATTTTCATTAGGAGTAATTCTCCTGCTTCAAGGAGATAAACAGGGAATTAAATAAGTCTTCTTTCTTCCTGGAACAAACAACAACAGGGTTTTATAACTTGGCATCAGGTAGTAGAAAGGGTACTGGGTTCAGGTTCTGCCCCTTAGAAATGGTGGGATCTTCAAGGACTTAGGGACCCAACCACCACGCCAGTGTGCAGAGGGTGCCAAACATGGAGTCCAGGTAGATTATTCTCCAGTACTGAGATTTGATGCCTGCCCTGCTGGGTTTTAGACTTGTTTGGGACCTGTTACCTCTTTCTTTTGGCCCTTTTTGAATAGGAATATGTACCCTATGCTTGTTCTCCCATTGTATCTTGGAAGTAGTCAACTTGTTTCATTTTACAGACTAGACTTTAGACCTCTGAGCTGAAACAAGTTAAGACTTTGGGGATGGAATGGATATATTTACTTATGAGAAAGACATGAAATTTGGGGGCCAGGGGTGGAATGCTATGGGTAAATGTGTCCCCCAAAGTTTTATCTATTAGAAACTTAATCCCCTCTGTGACAGTGTTAAGCAGGTAGGAAATCCTATTGTGGTAACTGAAAGGAGGAGCCCTTAAAAGGTCATTAGATTGTGAAGACTGTACCCTCGTGAATGAGTTGATCCATTCATGGGGTAATGGGCGTGATTCTGACGGCTTTAGAAGGAGAGTGAGTGAGAAGTTAGCCCTCCTTCTCTCAGCCATTTCACCACGTGACACCCTATATTGCTGTAAAGAGTCATCACCCACCAACAAGGCCCTCATGTGTTCCCTGGACTTCAGACTTCCTAGCCTCTGAAGCTGTAAGGAATAAATTCTATTTCTTCATAAATTAAAAAAAAAAAAAAGAAACTGTGGGATCTTGAAAAATTGCCTACCAGACAACTGTAAGAATTAAAGAAAGACCCTGAAAATGTGAACATAGTGCTTGACACACAGCAGGTGCTTAATAAATATGGAATCAGAATCACATCAACCTCCTGGTCAAAATGGCCACCCAAATTGTCCCTATCTTTCAAGGCTCAATTTAGTTCAAACATTCCTCGGTTCATTCATTTGTTCAGTCACTCATGGATCACATATTTACTGAACGCCTACTATCTGTATCAATGACACCTGCTGCAGATATAGAAATGAACAAGAACTCAGCATCTGGGGGGGTGACAGACATTAACTTACTAATTACACAGTTAGTTATTGAATTAAAATTGTGGTCAGGGCAAGGAAAGAGAAGTCTGTCTTCCACAGCCAGCCCAGCCCAGCTCAACCGATAATGGCTTCCTACAGATTCCCTACTTATTTTCTGACTGTGGAATTTGCCATTTACTATCTAGTATTGTTACTTGAATGCTTCCAAAGTGTCACAAGTACTTCCTAAAGTTGACTGTAGGCAAGGACCCAGGTCTCAGGCTGCCTTTGCCCCGGTTCCATGCAGAACAAGTATGTGGGGCTCAGTCCAGGATAAAATATGTTCTAAGATCAGCACATCTCTCTCGGGAATAGCAATTCAGAAATGTCATGACAACTTAGAGAAGTCTCTTTCCAACTTGGCATCATTCAGCATTTATGCTTTTAAGGACAGACAACTAACTATTTGAGGATGAACAGAGGGCAGGACTGGGGTGGGGTGGGGAGACCAGTTTATGAAACATGGCAACTAGACCTAATTTTTTTTTCATTCTCTAGGATATGCATTCTTCCTGAGGAAGGGGTCTTTTAAACATCATTGCCAAATCTGTAGTAAACAAAATATATTTTGTTCTTTCGTCTTAGAGCTCTCAAATAAAACAGTGTAAGGCCATAGTTCCTCAGATGGCAATTTCAGATGGTGCTAACAGGATGGGCACTGGAGGTGGAAGGCACAAGTTTTGTGTGACTAGCTGGAGTGACTCCAGAGAAGACAAAGCCCAGCACTCTCTGGATGTAACACCTTGTCTTCTGGGCCGGCACTTCCCTGGATTGTCTGGCTCAGAGGTGACATCAGCCTGCTCCTAGCAAGGCTGTGCTTGAGGACCCTATATGTTAGACTTTTATCTCCAAATGCCAAATAGAGGCAAAGGAGGCCACTGGCGAGTGGGGGTTGGGGAGGAGCACAAGGTGGAAGGGGCCTGGGGGCCAGAAAGCTGGTGACCATCTGCCCCACGCGGTACCAGCCTCAAGCTGCTCCTTTTGCCTCCTGCAGCGGTGGGGAGGAGAGGGGTCACTTTAAGACAAATGAATCCACGAGGCTTTCCTCTCCCAAATGCTGGCTTGTCCTTTGTGTTTTCTCTAAGTGGCTCCCTCCCTGACAACACATCTTCCACTACTACTAGAGGAAACGTTCGAAAGCACAGCTCGGATCCTGTGGTCGGCCTGCAGTGGCTCCCTCCCCGACAACACATCTTCCACTACTACTAGAGGAAACGTTCGAAAGCACAGCTCGGATCCTGTGGTACCTCTGCCCGTGGCCCTTAGAATAAAGTCCCAAGTCCATGGCATTCTCCAACACGGGAACAATGTCCTCTGCTTGTTTGGTTTCCTGGGGCTTGGCAGATAATCCAAGCTAATGAATATTTGATTGTGGAGTGGATGTGTGGCGGGACTCTCTGGGGCTCACCCCTGCTCTCTGTGCTCTCCCAGCATGCCACACCTTTAGTCATAGGGGACTTCTTTTAATCCTCTGACTGCACCCCCCTGTCTGGAATTTACAGCTTTTTTTTTAAAGATGACCAGTAAGGGGATGTTAATCCTTGACTTGACTTGGTGTTGTCAGCACCACGCTCTCCCAAGTGAGCCACGGGCTGGCCCCTCTTACGGCTTTGTTTTGCACACGTTCACCTCTTTAAGGGGATGCACATCTTCCCCTCAAAGCCTGAAGGCTTGTGTGGCTCCTAGTCATTCATCACAGGACAGCCTGCACCTCACCTCCTTTGTGACCCTACCCTCACTCCTGGCAAGGCTAGAGCCCTTCCCCTCAGCTGCAGGAGTGACCACCACTGGATTATGAGCCTCTCAAGGGCAGTGGCTCTGTATTATTTTCCATGGTCAATGCCCGGTACAGAGTAAATGGGCAACAAGTATCTGCTGAATGAATGAAAGAATGAGGAAATAAAGCCGCAGAGGGGCCCTGACCATGCAGCCCTGGGCTTGGCAAGTTTCAGCCATTCCCCAGGCATGGGAGACACTTACGTATTCCACTTCCTTTGATGGGTCGCTGAGGCTGCCGTTGGTGGTTGGGGCAGTCTCTGCGCCCTCTGGCTTTTCCTGTGGCTTCCCCTCCTCCTTGGGCAAGCCGCCCTGCCCTGGGAGGGCCACTTCTCCCACGCCCAGGGCCTCACTCTTATACTGCTTGACAAATTCTTCCATCAGTTTCGACTCGTTCTCCAAAAGTCCGCGGCAGCGAGAGGGGTCCTGGTCATAGATAGGGAGCTGTCTCATGAGCTGGCGTCGGCGGTAATAGGCACCCTCTGTACCTGTCACTGGCTGCTTCTCCTTGGGGATGAGCTCCATGTACTGCAGGCCCTAGGGAGGAGGGGGAGGAAGAAACAGTGTGATCAGTCAAAGAAACCAAGACAGAATCCATCTAAAACTCAAAATGCAGTATCTTTCAACATTATCAGCAACTGAAAGATACATAGTCTTTATTTTTTTACTTAATGTAGCTTTTATTTTCAAATTATAATATCTGTCCATTGTCACAAATAAGAAAACACAAATGAGAGAAAGAATGTACAGGAAAAACACGCATCTCTACCTTGTGTATGAAGGAATGTTCTGTGTCTTGATGTTGGTGATAGTGCATGGAAGTGGATCTATGTCAAAGTTCATCAAACTGTACACAGAAGACGCATACACCTTGCTGTGTGCATGCTATACTTTGATTGAAAAAGCATTTTTAAAAATGATGTCTCATTGGGCCACAGTAAAAGCTTGATAACAACTTTGTGTTTATCCTTCCAGACCAGCTCCTATCTATATTTATTAACACTTACTTGAATGTTACTTTTTGTGTGTGCACACCCCACTTATAATGAGTCAGTGGGTTCTGCTTTTCCTGTGACTGCGATAGCCCATGTTCACAGAGTGGGATAGAGAATGATTCTGATATGTGAGAAAGGAACATGTGTTTGCATCTGTTAATTTATGCTCTATCTGTTCATTGATTCACTAGATCTCTACTTGCTAATAATAATTACTATTTTATTGCTTATTCCCTAAAGACTACTGCAGCTTTCATCTTTGGCACTGGAAAGAGAAGGGAGTCTATACTTACTCATAGGCTAAGTTTTCCATTAGAATTTGAATGAAAATCATTTTGTTTCATTCTCTGACTTGCAAGTAATGGTCATAATTATGATTACAAGTTTACTTCTATTACCAAAAGAAAGTTGCTACTTTTAAACCTCGCTGCTAGTATCACTTGCTGGATAGTGGCCAGTTGATAAAACTCCTACAGTGTAATGAAAGAAACAGCACAAGCTGGCTGAGCTCATACGACCCGTGCACCACTGGGGACTGTCTTCTCACTGGTCCCACATTGATGTGCTTAATTCCTACCTTCGCTCATGGAGTTACCCTCCCTGAACAAGAACCCCCTCTAGTTTTTCCTATACTTACAAGTGGTACCATACGCTCTGGCTACTTGCTATGTTTGAGTTAACCCTCTAATGGGACCATCCACTCCTTGAGGACAGGTGATGTCTCTTCTACTCTAGTAGTGAGAGTGAAGGCTCTAGAGTTGGCCCATACTGAACCAAAATCCTGGTTCTAGGCATGCCAGCTGCATGGAAACAGCCACACAATTCCCTCTCTGTGCACAGTTTGCTTAGCTGTAAAATTTAGGATCACAAAACCTAGTTAACAAGTTACGGCATCTACACCACACATACTGATTTTCCCTTCCCTTTGCTTTTCTGTCTTTTAAATCTGCGACTGTAGTTATACTTACCAGCTAAGTATTTCAAAGCAATCCTTCTCACATGGCACAGCATATAACCATGTTAAAAAGTTACTAAAAATGTAGATTCTCAAGCACCAATCCCCAGTCAAGATCTTGATTCAGTAGATGAGGGGTAGGGTGCAGGAATCTGCATTTTTAACAGGAATCCCAGGTAACTCTGATGCAGGAAGTTGGCCCATGGACCTTACTTAAACTATTGTTTCAATGAAAACTGGCAAGAAAGAAATTAGTGAGATAAACCAACTGTGTTTCTCAAGCATCAGGCAGAGATCTAAGCAAAGGCTGGTGAATGATTCCTCGCTTCCTCAGGTTTTTGCAGAACCCAAAGATTCTCATGGAAGAAATGTGAATTTTGGTAACACCTGACAGAGGCCTAAATGAGCTTTTACTCTGCCCCAAGATGTGGTCACAGATTCGTGTTCTTGATAAGAGTGGCATAATTTAAGTAGATGTCCATTTTAGATTTGTTGGCTTTGCAACATGGATTTCGTTTCCTTCAAAACTGAATATTTTTACTTCATTTACCACACGGGCAACCCTCCTAATTAAAAAAAAAAGTCAATCTAGTTTAAAATTGCTTTTCTTAGAAAATTATAATTAAATCATTATGTGCATAAGGTTTTTCATAATTTATTAATATAAAAATTAACAAAGGCACCTAGTAATAGTAGAATCGACAAGGTCTTAAGTCAATAACGTTTCCACATCGAAACGACTGGTAACCGTCTGCGTACTAATGTGTTCACAGATAACTGTCTGATTTGGCTCTTTTTTTTTTTTAAATAAACAGAAATCTTTCCCTTGGTGGGTCCCAGGGATGAGGAAATAAAGGTGAAGGCCACAGCATGAAACACTGAGAAAAGCAAATTGTTTATCCTGGACATCGTTTTCCATTTCCGAGCCTGACCGTGACTCTGACCTCACCACCTGGTCTGATTCCCACTGCCCAGGTGGCTGCTCCATTTCTATCCTCTTAGAACTCACCTGCCTCATACTTTATCACTTGGGGCTGAACTCATTTTGGAATTGTGGGAATCAACATGGAAATTCATAATGAAATTCATAATGAACAGTATTAGCTGTTCATTATGAACTTCAGGGGATGAGAAACCTGGGGGTATGGTGGGGTATGAGTCCAGAGCCTGGTACTTGCTGGGTGTCATAATAAGTACATTTTGGATGAGAGCATTTTTAGAAAAGGGGGAGAGAGGTGGCTTGGGTTCCCATAGGACTCAAATTGAGGGATGGCTCTGCCCTAGATCCTGGGGGACACCTGTTTGAGATACTTCCTGGCACTGTGTGCTCACAGCATACCCTATTAATCCTGGGTGCATCTACACACTCCAGAATGCTTTTCAAGGTGCTTTGCCAAACCCAGGAGATAGCCTGGGTGGTGGACAGAGCCCTGGGGTGTCAGGAACTCTGGGTTTTAGGTCCAGCCCTGCTGCTGCTCTCTGACTGAGAAAGGATCTAACCTCTGTGCCTGAACATCGTCATTGCAAAATTCAGGGTAGACTGCATGACCACTAGGGTTGTGAGAACTCTGTGGCAACCTCATGTGACCTTGACCACAACTAGGAGAGAGAGAAGAACAATATCACCAACCCTAGTGTTACAGCCCAGGAAAGGGTCAGAGGAGATGATAACTTCTGGTTGGCCAGAGAGGCCAAAGTCCGCCACCTAATGCGTGGACAAGCAGCGGCGCCAGGGCATCACCCAGCCAACTAAGCATCCAGGAAGCCTGTCTTAGGAGACCGGGGCGTCTGGTGGTTTTCCTCTTGATTGGCATGATACTGCAAGTGGCTCCCAGCACAAATATGTCAAAGCAGCGGCGCCAGGGCATCACCCAGCCAACTAAGCATCCAGGAAGCCTGTCTTAGGAGACCGGGGTGTCTGGTGGTTTTCCTCTTGATTGGCATGATACTGCAAGTGGCTCCCAGCACAAATATGTCAGGCAGGTGGCTCTGCAGAACCTAGTCTCAAACTTTAGGGTGCATACGAATCACTTGGAGACCTTGTGGAAAAGCTTCTGGGGCCCACCTTCAGATTCTGATTTTGGAGGTCTGGAGGGGCCTAGAAACGAGGCCCTGTCATTTCACAGAAACTGTAACAGGTTCTCCTGGGTGGGTCTGAAACAGGACATCTCAGGATCGAGGCCTCTTTGGGGGCAGTGGGTGGGGAAAGGGGATGTGACCATCAGAGGATGGCAGGGAGTGGCAGCACAATGCTGGCAGGCTGGGGCAGGGCAGACCCCGGGGAGATGGGCTGGGTTGGAGCCACTTGGACAAGTACACCCACCCCTCCTCCTTCCATGCTTTCCAGGGCCTGCCCCGCGCCAGGACAAAATGAAGGGTTTTGGAGAAGTGGAAACAGGTGCCTTGCCCACTCTGCCAGCGTGGGCCTCACCCTGGCCAGCATCTTGCTAAGTCCATGTGTTGAAGCAGCCCTGCCTGCAGCTGACGCAGCTCATCGGAGAGTCGTCGCTTCCCCTCTGGAGACTGCTGCCTCCCCAGGGTCAGGGTTTAAGGAACTTTAGAAACAGCGAAAGCTCAGGTGGTGCTTACTACATTCCAGGTACTCTTCCAAGTGCCTCACATAGGCTAACCCATTTAATTCTCACAACAACTCTAGGAGGAAGATACTAATGTCACTTGGGGAAACTGAGGCACACAGAGGCTAAGTAACCTCCCTGAGGTCACACAGTTAGTATGTGATACAGACAGCTTTGAATTCAGCACCTCGGGTCTCAAGCCCTTCTGTACTGCCTCTAGAGAGGATGAATAATTTTCAAAGAGAAAAAAATGTCCCCTAATCTCTGGGAGAGTGTGCCTTTGTCATCATTTCAGGGTGACTGGGCAGTGTATCACCTGGTGCCAGGATTCCCCTTTCCCTGGAAATGTCCGTTTCTCTGGCCTTCAAGGGCCTGTACCCCTCCCTGCTCAGTTTTGCCAATAAACACTGTGTTAGGAATCCCGGCACAGTGGCCTTGCCAGCCGGCCGCTCATTAATCCCTACATTCAGTGTCCCTTCACGACTCTGTGTTGGCTCTGGCCCTGTAGAAAAGGAATCTTCCTTCCCAGGGACCCAGTGTCCCTTTGCAGCTCAAAGCCCCAGCTGGGTGCTGGCTCTCTGTCCTTGCATTGTCAAGGCCACTACGTCCAGCTGCCACTGGTATGTGCTCTGTGATGCCTGGCCTTGCCTGGCTGGCCTGACTCCTGCCACCACTCCCTATTCACACATCCATGGCAGACACTGCTAATCAACCCCTGATGAGGGCCTCAGAATCCCCCTGAACACAGCCCTCCAGGCAATCACTATTGATGAGCATAGACTTGGGAAGGAGATGACAGGGAAGAAGGTCTGGGTCCAAGTCAGCTGCCTGCTGCTGCTATGAATCTGTGAGAGACTCTCCCAGGTATCTTTCCAAGAAGCGGACTAAGGTCATGCTCCCAAAACCTTTAGTGAGAGGTGTTTTCTCAAAACAGTTGGAAAGATTGGTTTAGGTTTTTTAAGTTTTTCCTGAGGACCTTGCTGAATTATTTGGTGCTCTGCAGTCTGGCTGGGACATCTAGGGTGGAGTGGTTCCTAGAATCTGTCTGTATTGGGAGAGAAATCAAAAATGCAAAGAGAAAAGTGCAAGGGAAATTTTCCTACTCCCTGGGTTGGGCAGTAGAACATGCATGGGCTTTGGAGTCAGAAGATCCAGTCCTGATTCTTCTCTACCTGATTCTTCTCCAGCTGTCAGCCAAGGACAGTAAGTGGGCTTCATCTCACATGACAACCCCAGTCAATAGTGGCTATGTGGAGTGCTGGGCTGAGGATTCTGAGGCCTGATGAGGCCTCTGTTTGCTCCCCTGTGAAATGGGGCTGTAACATGCTCAGCACACAGGGAGTGGTGAGGTTTGGGGGAGATATACATGCAAAATGGTCAACGAATGCTGGCTCCCTTCATCTTCTCCTTCTGTCCTCCCCTAAATCCTGGCTGGTTTTCAAAGAGTCAAGCTCCTACCTATTCTTGGAAGGCCTCCCTAAAAATGCTTACCCAAGGTACCTGCTTCTTCCTGCCTTCCCTCCCACCTGCCAGTTCTCCTGCTCTGGACTGGTGGGGAAGAGCCCAAGCTCTGGAGCCAGGGAGGCCTGAGTTTAAGACCTGGCTCTTTCACTTAAATCAACTGTGGGCATTTGGCTAGTTGCATTACCTCTCTGAGCCTGTTTCCCCCTCTGTAGATAAAAATACTAGTACATTCCTAACAGTGCTGAAAAGTTAGATGAGATTGTGCATGAATAGCTCTTAATTCAAGACCTGGCTCTTTCACTTAAATCAACTGTGGGCATTTGGCTAGTTGCATTACCTCTCTGAGCCTGTTTCCCCCTCTGTAGATAAGAATACTAGTACATTCCTAACAGTGCTGAAAAGTTAGATGAGATTGTGCATGAATAGCTCTTAGTACAGTTGCTGGCACACAGTAAGTACTCAATAAACATTAGCAATTAGACTTATTGTTACCAGTCCTTAAATACTTAAGAATTTCTCTGGCCGTCATTCTGGTTAGGAAGGATAACAGATAGCAAGTTTCAGTCCCATTCCCAAAATATAATCAGTCCCAATCACTTAGTAATTAAAAAAAATGTTGGGAGGGTGAATGGGAAGGCAGAGTTGTCCAGTCTCAGAAATGTGAGGCCCAGGAGCCCAGCTGCAGGGCAGACAGAGGGGCTCTTTACAGCCGTGTGGTTTTATGAGCCATAATTAATCACTGCCTGACGCTGCCTTCCCCTGATTAGTCTGGGGCTGCAGCATTTGGGGTTTTCATCAGCCAGTTCCTGAAACCCACAGCCAGCTCTTTTATGAGCTGCTTGCTTTAGTTTCCACTGACATCTTGGAGATCACTGAATGGCTCACCCAGGCCCAGGCGCTGGAGGCAGACCCGAGATCCGAACACCTGGCACATCCTGGCTCTACTGCTGACCTGATACCACCCCTGTGGCTGGAGATCGGTCCCGTCTGGCCCTGCAAACTCGTGGAGGCCAGCAAACCATTCTGTGTTTCTTTCTATGTAAAACAATTCCTGCCTCACAAGGTGGTTGAGCTCATGAATTCTGAAGTGTTTTCTTTAAAATGTGCTTTATGCTTTTCAAAAAGTACAGATTAAGAGGAAAAAAAAAAATCTCAGCTTCTCTTCACTTTATCTAGAAGGGATTTCACCCCCTTGCTGTTAAGTGACAGCTTAGGACTCTGCTCCTCCAAGTCTCTGTGGGGAAGGAGCAAGGTCTGTCTGGTTTTTCCACTTACTGAAGGAGGACTGTTGATCTCACTGCACATGATCAGAAAGCGGCTCATGCCATGTGAGATTTCCATGTGAGTCTGGCCACAACTGAATTCTGTTCAATGACATGAGTTCTCATCTCATCACACAGTCAGATGTCAAATGGCTACAAAATTTCCCAACTTTTATTCTCAATTTCTGTACTTTTATCATTGTGCACCCATCACAAGGACTAGGTAGAATGGCTCCAGTCCACAGACCACATTTGGAGTATCTCTGGCCTAGAGATTAACATTGCACCAATATTAACCATGCCTACCATGTGCCCTGAACTGTGCTAGCTGCTGGAATGGCACTAGGTACAGGATAGACATGGTCATCCTAAGCCGTCACTTAAGGGGAGGGGATGAATCTCCTTCTGACAAGAGAGGATAAGATAGCACAGAGATGCATGAGATAATTACAGCTTCTAAAGAAATGGAAAGAGAGAAACAGTGTGGTAGGAGGATGGGTGGCATCTATTGTACATTGGGTAGTTAAGGATGGCCCATTTGAGATTGTCAAAAGGACCCAGCCATGCAAGGAAAGAATGTTTCAAGCAAAGGACAGCCCTGCAGAGGGCAAGAGCTTGAAGTGTTCCAGAACTGGAAGGAGGAAGTCAGTGTGTTGTAAGGCACTGAATGTGGAGGGAGGAACAGGAGCCTGCAGCGACAGGACCATGCAGGACTCCAAGGGCTCTCCTTTTCTTCCAGGAAAGACTTAATTAAAGGCCAGCTTGTATCTCGAAAACTGTTGAGCTTTTTTTTAAAAGATGACCAGTAAGGGTATCTTAACCCTTGACTTGGTGTTGTCAGCACCACGCTCTCCCAAGTGAGCTAACCGGCCATCCCTATATAGGGATCCGAACACATGGCCTTGGTGTTATCAGCACCACACTCTCCCAAGTGAGCCACGGGCCAGCTACCCCCCCCCTTTTAATCACATTAACTTGTGAAAATCATCTAGCCCCTTGCCACTCCAAGTGTGATGTATTGGCATCGCCTAGGTGTTTGTCAGGAATGCACAATCTCGGGACAGCCCCAAGTCTACTGGATGCATTTTAATGAGTTCCCCAGGTGATTGACATACATGCTGAAATTTGAGGAGTGCTGGTCTGGGGCACTGGCTCTTGCAGGTGGTCATATGTGGAGTCACCTCAGGAATCATTTAAAATATTTACATTATGGGGATTTGGGTTCTGCAATCTGGAGCTTCTGATTCAATGGTCTGGGTGAGAGGCCTGGGCATGAGATTTTTCACAGGCCCCTCAGGATTCCAGAGAGCAGCCAGAATGTAACCTAGTGTGAGCCACTTGTCCTCTCTGGGCACCTCTTCCTCAGGGTTGTGAAAAATCAATTTGGTTCTTGCTTCTAACACTAAGAGTCTTCAACTTTTAAGGAGAAGAGAGGGCCATTTTTCTGTTCTCTTGCAGGCTTCCATGGCCACTTTGAGGGGAAATGAACACCTTGCCGACGGAGACAAACACTTTGAGAATCTTCAGTGATTAAATCATCCCCTGTTCAGAAGTAAGGAGCCCAGAAGGAACAATGAATGCACCTGTACTAGAGCTGGAAGGCCCCTTAGAGTTCATATGAACACCCGTTTCATGGATGAGGAAAACTGAGGCCCAAACAGTCTTCACTTCAATATCACAAGATGTAGGAACAGAACTGAAGCCGTAGCCATTCATACTATTTTTGTAACCTTACCCTCTTGCTACCTCACCTTTGAAATTCAGGAACTCATGATATGGCTAATATTTACAAGGATAGGAAAACAACCTGGTTGGAGGAAGCTGTCTTACCAGTTTTTGGGTGACTCCAGGAGGAGCCCACTCGTAGGTGATGGTGTCAAAGGTGGGGTCTTTCCCAGTGGCAATGGGGTTGGTCATAATCATCCGGTTCCTCTTGTAAATCCGGATGCCGTCCCCACCTTTCACCCGGGCAGTGAGAGTGGAATACTTGGAGTCCATCAGCAAGCGGCCAATTTTCCGATCGTCTTCTAGGTCGGAGCTTAGGCAGTGGTCCTCTTGGCTGCATTTGCATGACTTGCATATTTTCCTGGGGGTGGGGTGAGGATAAGTGAGATCAACCTCTAGAAAAGAGGGGCAGAGTCTGCTGCTGGTAGCATCTACCTTCTGAAAACAAGCTCAAAGTTTAATTTAAGCAACTTGGAAAGGTAAGCAGCAGACAAATGGTAACCTGACATAAAAAGGCCTTTGGGATTGGGAACTGTATTTGGGAAATGCGAGTCTTTCTATCAGTCTATCTATGGAGAATATGGGATGTGACTTTTGTTGGTAAAAAGAGTAGCAAGTTTTTCCTCTCAGTGATCACCATGGCAAAGACTGGTTCATTCACTAGAGATGCTCTAAAGCTGGAGTCTGTGTGGACCCTGGCCTGATTCTGGCCCACAACATGCTTTTGTAAATAAAGCTTTATTGGAATGCAGTTGCTTTGGGTCTACAATGGTAGAGTTACAACAGAGACCATCTGGCCCACAAAGCCTAAAATATTTACTATTGGGACCTTTACAAAAAAAGTTTGCTAACCTCTGCTCTAAAGAATTACTAAAATTGTCTTCTAAGATGCATGAGGGTCGGAACTTCAGCAACTTTTAAGCTCTTTAGCATGTATACTGTAGTTAGAATACAGTGGAAATTTTCTTCAAGAAACTTGTGGACAAGACCCAGGGGGAAGTGGGAGGGCTGAGAAAAGCCCTCTAGTTGGAGAGATTAATGTTTTCTGGGAAGACTCTGTCAGGAGGCTGAGAGAGGGAAACACATCCTGGGCAAGGTTCAAATTCACTTGAAAGCCTGCAGCTTCTCTCTGACAACTAAAAAAAGAAAAAAAAAGTGTTTGGTTGCTTTGTATTGTGCTATTAAGGTGTAGAAATCTAGAGAATTCCACAGTGTGAGAGGAAAATTGCTTCCCTCCCTTACCGCCTGGCACCATAGGTGTACTGTGCTGTGTCTCAGGTGCTCCGATGCGTGAGATTTAAGAGCTTGTTAAGTAAAGAGAGCAATGTCAAGACCAACCACAGACATGGGGAAGGGCTAAGCAAAGGAGATTTCATTGCAGCTGCATGATTGTGTCACAGCCAGGCAAGCCAAAAGAACCCTCCTTTTCTTTTCTACATGCAGGAGATTAACATGCCTGGTTGTGTACCAAAACTGTTGATTGTGGGGCTAGGAGGAGCATGCCTTGATGGTCTACATCAGTGGTTCTCAACCAAAGTCAATTCTGTCCCCTGGGGCATTTAGCAACGTCTGGAGACATTTTTGTTTATCACAAAGAGGAAGGGGGTGTGCTCCTGGCATGTAGTGGATAGAAGCCAGGGTTGCTGCTGAACATTCAACAATGCACAAGATGGCCACTCACAACAAAGCATTATCAGATCCAAGATGTCAATAGTTCTGAGACTGGGAAACCTTCATCTAATAGGAAGAAGAGGAGGCCTTATCACAATCTTCAAGGAGCTTACAGATGGGGTGGAAGAGGGAGAGAAAATTAGATGTAAACTATGACATAAAGTAGAATGAGGTTGGGTCATAGAGAGTTGTATGCAATCTGGGGTAGGTCTGCTGGCCTGGACCAGTTCTGCGGGATGTTAGCAGGTGGTACATAGAAAAAGGCTTCGTGCCCAGTGGTAATGAGTTTGGAGAAGAGTGGGTTAGAGGAGGTTAAACACCTATCCTTAGTGCAAGGCTGCTCCTTGTCTTTAACACACTGGCATTTCGAATGTTATTTGAGAAGTTCAAGTTCATATTCAGTGGGCTGCAATTTGAGAAATGTTAAGATTGATAATCTCAAGGATTCATTCCAGCAATACCGAAGAGAAAATGACCCTCAGGGTGCTGCAGGGCAAACACAAATAGTCTTTCTTTTCTCACAGAAGAGGTTGCTTGTTTATCAGAACCGGGGAATATTATTCACGATCAATAATATTCCTTTGCCCATCCCTTTTAGGAGCCAGACATGGAAGAGACTGCTTCTGGAAGATGACAGGCCATAGCTAATGTGATGGTTTCCATGTAGGGGGTGAGAGGAGCAGGGCAGAGGCAGTAGGAGGAGGAAGAAGGAGGAAGTGAAGGAAAGCCCAACGTGGAGGAACACGGAGGAGCCCCATCTCCAGCGTTCCACGTCCCATCGGGCCCTCTTACCATCCCATGCCTTCCATGCATGGGACTGGATGAGAAAGCTGCTCTGTGCTTTTCTGGTTACTACGGAATCCCAGGATGCTATTAGAGATGTTGGGAATGCAAAACATTTAGAAATGGAAAATGTTAGAGAATATGAGGTGTTCTTTGAGATTGTGTCAACATTTCTTCTCCTTTCGTTCACGCTCTTCATGTTGCCAGGCACGTTGCTGGGACTTTACAGATGAAGAGGACACTCTCTTACCCTACCCCCACCCTTTTCAGGCACCCAGATAGTGGAGAACATAGATATACCCAGAAAGATCCTAAATGATATTAAAATAGCCATTTCTGCAATCTGTTATCAATAGCCTGGTAGTGAATTCTGTCCTGTGATGATTAGTAGAGAGGCCTTTCTATTAAACCAGGTTGGCAGGCACTTTAATCATTTAAGTATCTTTTAAACAATTAAGAGTATGAAAATTAGAGCATAAAAATGGTTTGACAGGGCTTCCCTCCTAAGGTTCTGTGACGTCACAGCTACAACACGGGTCGAATTTAAGTCCCTATCAGGGTTGTTCAAACCAAAGATGACACTTGATATGCAGGACCTACAAATGCTATCCGTACTTCTCAAAGACAAATTCCTGTGACGTCACAGCTACAACACGGGTCGAATTTAAGTCCCTATCAGGGTTGTTCAAATCAAAGATGACACTTGATATGCAGGACCTACAAATGCTATCCGTACTTCTCAAAGACAAATTCACTTGATGTTGAAGTCACTTGTAGGATGACAAGGAGATGTAGGGATTAAAACAATGTTCAGAGACTTCTGCTTCCAGCCCTGAGGAGCAGGGTCCAGAATTGTCCTCCCTCCATAAACAACTAGAAAACCAGGGAAAATACAATGAATGACCATTCTCAGATGTTGGAGGGCAGGCAGTGCAGGATTGTGATCCTTGAGAGAAGAGGAAACATTATTGAACTGACTCTGTGGGCGCATTTAGGGAACATTTTTCTCCCGCCCCAAGAACTTTAAAAGGAACTGTCTTCAAAGAGCTGAAGAAGAGACCCTGATGGAAGATTCAGGACCGATGGGGTTGAAATAATAGGGAAGTTTACTTTCTTCAAGGCCAGAAAGAGCTCAAGAGGCAAAAGAGAAGCATGGGGAGTTCTTTCTCTTGGGAATGTTTCAGTTGTAGGAGGAATTTTTGCAGGGGATGGAAGCCTGGGTTGGATGACCTTAAAAGTTCCTTGCATCCAGAAGACCATGTGAGCTCCCCTGAGGTCAAGGACTGTCAGGGAATGGAGTCAAGGAACCGTCTTCTGCTTAAAAAGCTCATAGCCCACAGTGTTGCAGATGGTTAAGAACATGGGATGGGTTTTGTGTAGATCTGAGTTCAAATTCTGCCATTTAGTAGCCATCTCCCCAATACCCACCCTCAGTGTCCTGACCTGCAAAATGAAGAGACTAATACTCACTGCTTAGGGTTATTTCAGCACTTAAATATAAACTGAGTGATTTCATTCAGTTCATCAATAAGTAGTTATTTTTGTAATTGCCATCTCACAATGGCAGTCAGAATCTCTGAGAAAACATCTCCCAAATTTTGTTTCCCCAATGAGTGCCCAAGTCCACACTATGGCAGTGAGGACAAAAGCTTCTTCTTTGCTCCTGTGTTCCATAGAGCTTAGCCTCTTTCTTTCAGGGCTGGAAGGACAGTCACACAGGCTGTGCCCTGCACAACTCCAGGGGGTGTCTCCGCATAGATGCTGATGTGAATACTGCCTGGGAGCTGTGTAACGTGGCACCTAAGCCTTGTTCTCAGAGTCCTCCACAAAAAAAGAAACAAACAAAGAAAGAAAAACTCTGCAAGTCCAAGTCCAGCTGGATCTTAGGCTCACCTGCATAGATATAAATACTAGGTCCTGGTTTTTAAGTACTATGTACCGAATGACTTTTATTTCTGTTCCAGGGGCCACTTAGATGAAAACCCAGCAAGAGGGATGATGAAGCATTTGGAAGAGATCAAACCCCAGGGCAGACAGCCCTACCCTACATGCACCGGGCACCAGCTAACACCTGCCCTCATCCTTCCAGAGCAGTCCCTGCTGGGCTGAGCTTGGTGGCCTCTGCCTTGAAATGGTTTACGAAGCACTAAGCTCCTTCTTCAGATGTTTACTCCCAAGAACCTTTTACTTGTTCCTGAACTGGGCCAAGCAGAAGTGCCTTCACTCTGCAGCCATCCCTCCCAGTGATGCATGCATCCTAAGCGGTCCCAGCAGAGAACGACCAGGGTTCCCAGAAAGGACAGCCAAGAAATGAAGGCAGGCAGAGCCCCTCCTGACAAATCTGTTACCTCCATGAATGTGGCTCGAAGCCCAAACACGTCCCCTTGCATCTCAGGCAAGCCACACCTCTTGCTGATTGCTGCTGGCCCAGGGACATCTGGAAAAGGAGATAGAAAAGAGGGTGTTTTCCTTCCAAACATCTTGGACCAGGGATGCTTGACCTCTCAAAGACTTGGCATGTCAGCAAAGGGATTGTGTGGGGTTCAAAGGCTCGAGATCAATAAGCCATCACTAACTGTTTGAACAGAGAAAGCCAGCTGGGAATGCGGCCATAGGGCAGGCAAGAGTGAAGGGTGGGGCCCTTCCCAATAAAAATGCAATGGGGGCTCATTCCCAGCCTCCAGTGCCCTTGCAAAGCACCAAGTCTGGTTGGAAACACTGTGCTGTGAGTGACCATATGCTCCTTCCCCCACCTTCTCCCACTCCCCTGATCTGCTTGTCACTGAAATGGAATCCTCTAGTGAGTGCCTCCTCTCCCTTATTTATTCATGATTTATTGATAGGGTGTGATTAAACCAAAGCTACAGGCACAAACAAATGTGCATGCTGCCAAATGCTTATAGCTGAAAGCATAACTTATATATCTTGCTAAAACACTGAAAATTGCATGAGCATTTAACCTCTCTTTTGGAAGGAGAACAATGCACAAGACAGGTTTTATTATTCGTTAAGAGGCAAAGGAAACGAAAGTGCACCGGCTGCTGCTTCTGCCCATGTGTTTAGATACAAATGTCTCTTAAATGCTGTCCTCACACCAGCAGCCACACCTGGGAGCTTGAAAAAAATGCAGACTCCTAGGCCTTGTCCAAGCCTTTTTGAATCAGAATTTGCACTTTAACAAAATTCCCAGGAGATCTGTATTACATTAAAATCGGAGAAGTAGTGGGTTAGTGTACAGATCTGCTGGCTGAGAAACTTACCTAACTCTCCACTGGGGGTGGGAGTGGGAATGACTCGGTACAGCTAGAGACATTTATCATGATTTTAATTAGAAGCAAGGCTCAATCAGCTAGGAAGATAAAGGGATAAACTCCTCATCGAACCAACGTTATCATTTCATTTAACCATTTATTCAGCATCTACTATGTACCAGGCACAGGGGATAAGAGGTAAGACTCAGGTGTGCTCTAGGAAACACACAGTCTAGGTAGGGGGTCAATGTAGAGGAAAACACACACTCATCACCTGCTCCTGCAAATGTTAGGTTTGAGGTCAGGAAGCTGCCTACTGTATAGCAGAAACGCATGGACTTTGGAATCTGAGAGACTTGGGTTCCAGTTCTAGCTTTTTAATTTACTGGTTGCATGGCCTTAGACAAACTGAGTCTGAGCTTTCTCACCTGCCAAATGGGTACAGAGATAATATATGTGATATGCCAGACCACTTTAGGTACTAGAAATGATAACTGCTAGTATTCTGAACTCTGACTTTAGAAGCACAGAGAATGGTGTTCATAAACTCATATGGAAAGTCCAGGGAGGCTTTTTAGAGGAAGTGACTTTGGATTTGGGCTGTGCAAAATGAACAAACAGAAAAGAAGGAAGAGAATGTGCAAGGGCAGAAAGATGCAAAAGACACAAGGGGTAGGGTGTCACAATCTGCATATGCCCCTTGGGACAGTACTAGTCTATGTCTTTGCTTTCAAGAGGGGAAAAAACAAGTAGTGTGACCTGTGCAGCCACCTTCATTGTCAATGTTAGAATTTAAAGAGAGATACGCAAAACAACAGTTACCCTTCACAATGCTTCTCTTCTGCACTTCAAATCTTCCCACGAGAATGCCTAACTCCATGCCTCCTGCTTGGTGACTGCTGTTTACACCATGTCTTCATATACCAAGCTGTTCTGTTTAGTACATATTCACAGAATCGGGGAGCAAGAGCCATGTTGCACATATTTGGAGGGAAGCATGTTTCTATTTGTGCCTGTTCAGTGCTAGATTCATTTTAAAAGTGAAAATTAAGATGACGCTCACTACTAACTCACACATCTGAGCTGGGGAGCTTTCATTCACAGACAGAACTTTGCTCCCTAAAACCACTGGTATGTAAGCTTGGTTATTTCCACCTCTCCTTGACACCTTGAATTCTACTAGTTGAAATATAGTGATCCTTCTACACTTACTACTCGAGTGATTCAAAGCTTATTTTGGGAGGTATACGATTTATGAATAAAGCTTTGTTGTTGGACTGTTTCAGATATACCTAGAGGCCTGGAAATAGAAGAGAGATGTGGGGAGCATTTCGTAAGTGGCAAAGCACTCCGCATGCTGGAGTGTTATTCTTCTTCTAATGAGAGGCTGATTTAACAGTTATCCGACAAGGGGATTAGTCCTGATGCTTGGCTGGGAAAGCTGAGCCTCAATTCTGTCGCTGGCTTAGGATCTGGTTTAGAAATAGTGATGTAAGTCAGAACAGTTCACAGAGCACTGGCCTACGATGCGGGGGACTGGCCTTCCAGTGCCAGCTCTGGCATTTATTAGCTGTGCAACTGGAGGTGAGTAATTTCCTTACCCAGCCTGCGTTTCTCCTTTGTAAAATGAGAAAACTGGCCTAGATTGGGGTGGCCCAAATTCTGTTCCGCGGGATACTCATTTTGTGAGATGTTACAAAACGTTTGTTGGGGGTTGGGGGCGGTAGGAAGCAGGATCACATGATCAAATAAAAATGGCGGGCACTGGATGTGCAAAGGCTTTCAAACCTTTGCAATACCAGAGAGGTGGACAGCAGGCAGCTATTTCAAGTTTACAGACCCAGGCTTTGGAGGTAGGCAGGTCTGGAATTTAGTCCCAACTTTGCCCCTTTCTTCTGCTGCACTTAGGCAAATGACTGGGATTGCTGGGTCTTAGTTTCCTAACCTGCGTCATGGGGATAACAGGAATCCGACCCACCTCATGGAGTTAGCATGCAGTTAAACGGGATGCTGCATGGAAAAGGCTTAGCATACACTTATTATGCACTGACTGTTGTGGTTGTCATTACATCTTGTGAAAAACAATTCAAGACCCTGAATTTTATTTCTAGCTTCAGAATCCTAGGGGAGTTCAGAGGAACTATTTTTCTAACTGTATAACTCACCATACCTCTTGATTCTCTACTTCGTTTCACACATATAAGAGTTGCCTCTCTGACGATTAAAGAAATGAAAGTAAAAAAAAAAAAATTAGTCCCACACGTGTTCTATCCTTAACAATGAACTCATTGATCAAAGCCAATCCTAGCCCTTTGCCACTGAAGTGATCTGCTACCCATCACCTAAAGAAAACTGACATTAAAAATCACAAGCAGCACAAAGAAAGCCAAGCGTAGTCAGGTGAATGATCACACAGGAGATCCAGCCAGGACGCCAGGTGCAGGAAGCAGAGAGGTGGCCCAAGCCTCCATCCTGCTAGTGGGATGGTTGCTATGGTGACAGAAGTCCATGCAGAGAAAAAGAAATGACTTTGCAAGGGAGAAATAGATATGGGCCGTTAGGCCACCCCTGTAGCCAGTTTCCTGGCTGTCTGTTCAACACAGTAATAAATAGCCACTTGTCCATGCATGCCCTGCATCCAGGAGCCAGACAGGCCAACTGTCTTCAACATGGAGAAAATGATGATGTTGTTTATTGAGGAGGGGAAAAAAGTCAGCCAGACCCAGTGTTCTAAATAAGATACTCTGGTTTATAAACAGTAGACTTCTCTGATGTAGACTGTCTCCATTGAAAGACAGCACAGTGTCTCACATTGCTGAGAAGAGAAAAGCTTAAAAGGAACCATCACTAAAAAAAGTTTCTTGGAATGTAGCATCTAATCTGTCCTTTCTTTTGAGGGGAGGAAAAAATGTTTTGACAGTTTTCTTTGGCTCAGGTTAGTAGGATGTGGTTCATCTGATGCTGTGGGACTGAATGGTGTCAGGGATGTAAAAGAACTTAAATCAGACCAGGAGCCCCCAGGGGATGCAAGGAGCAGGGGGCAACCTTGGGACTACTCTTTCCTTTAAGACATTGCCCTTAGGTGAACCCCAGGGGAAGTCTTAAAGGGGAAAAGCCACTTTGAGATGAAGGGAAATTTAAAATGGGAAATGCAATCTGGAGTTTAGGGATGAGCACAGAATTTGGAATTAGAAAACGGGGCTCTCTTCTCAGCTCAGTTCTTCCTCTTTGTGTAACTCTCTTTCTTTCTCTGAAAATGAATTATCCCTACCCTTTTTGCCTCAACAAGGCTGTGGTGAGCATCGTGTAAGATTAAGAGTTTGTAAAATGAAATCACTATTTACCATTGCTAAACAAATTATCCAGAACCTAGAAATAAGGCAGAAAGGTGAGTGGCACATCCTTTCAATGTCATTTGGTGGCAATATGACATTGGCTCCTCCCATCCCCACCAAGATTATCTATAGAAATTTACTTTGCTCAGCTACAAAACTTGGTGAAGATACACAGTACCTTGCAGACCTCAGTCCAGTTGAGATACAAATAATTTTTGTCCTTTTCAAAAAGATAATCCCAAAGGTTATGGTTTATTGAAGAACTAAGCCTGAGCTCATGCAAATCTTAGAACAACCCTGTCAGGTCGGTATGTTGCACCGGTTCTCAAGGCATGGTCCCCAAGCAGCAGCAGTAGCAGCACCTGGGAACTTGTCAGCACTGCAAATTTTCAACCCTCACCCTGGACCTATGAGATCACACACTCTGGGGCAGGGCCCAGCCCTCTCTGCTCGAGCCCTTCAGGTGATTTGGATACACAAATAAAGTTTGAGAGCCACTGATATGTTGTCAATACCCCCAACTTGCATGAGGTTCAGATCCTATATAGGGATGGCCGGTGCGCTCACTGGCTGGGCACGGTGCGGCCGGTCTCAAAAAGGACAAAAAAAAAAAAAAAAAAAAATTGAAAATAAAACTGCCATACAACCCAGCAATCCCACTTCTGGGTATACATCCAATGGGAATGAAATCAGTACGTTGCAAAGATATTGGTGCTTCCACGTTCACTGCAACATTATTCACCACAGCCAAGATATGGAAACAACCTAAATGTCTGTCAATGGATGGATGGATAAAGAAAATGTGGTGTGCACACACAAGCACTGGAATATTATTCTGCCTCAAAGAAGAA